TGAAACCTTTTCTTCAAATGCAGGGACTTGTCTTAACTTGGGGTTAACGGAGTCCTCCCTGCTGGGAAGTACTTTTGCTCAATGGATAAAATACACCTTTTAAGAAAGTCTAATATATTAAAATCAAACTTACAAAAAAGCTTTCTTAAGGGATTTCAGCATCCTGGCATACTTCCACAAACCAAACTACTACCTTCTATTAAATGGAAATGATCTTTAGGGGCAAGGGCTTTGGATTCACTTCTTTTATTTCTCTCCACAGCACCTGGTGCATTGCTGTGTCTGGAATTTCTTAAGCACCTGGCTTACTATGGATCCCATGGGTAGGGGATGGTACAGGTTGGTAAGGATTGGTAGGAGACTGAGTTTTCTCTCACTTCTCTTCCAAAGGTCGCCATTACTAAATACTTTAAATCTTCCTCACTGCCTGATTGAGGACATATACATGCACTCTTTTGATTTCTATATGCTAAATCACTAAAATAAAACAAACTACCTATCATACTTAATTTAGGTTTATTTCTTCCATAAGGGTTTAGCATTAGGCAAATGGGGGTTGAGGGGTAGTGAGAGAACAAACTTAAAAGAATCGAAGAAACTAATTGATTGATTCCATGCTAAATACACCTGACTAGTATCAATTTGCAAGACATGGATGTTACATTTGGATGGGGACCAGCAGGAAGGTGTCTAATAATAACCTTGGGCAGAATTCCAGTTGACCACAATAAACGACCAGGGAAGCTCATGTTTGTTTGTTTTCGCCAATATTGCACATTAAGAGTGTTTCACTTTTAAGATATATGCTGTTCTGAGTAGCCACTCAGAACAGATGGTAATATTAGCAAAGGAATAGATGGTAATATTAGCAAAGGAAGCCATTGATGTATCTGGAAATCTGGTCATCTTTTTGAACACTAGCAGATGAGTATCCTACCACCAAACTGACATAATGCACCTTCTGCAAGACAGCAGTCTCTTGGCACTGCTTAGCTTTGAAGTAAAACCCGAAATGAACTCCTCCTGCTAACGTGGCATATTGAACCAGGCATTTTTGTTTTTTTTTACTTCCAAGGCCTTCTCAGTTGATGCATAGTACATCCATCTTCATGGAAGTGACTATTGCAGGCTAGAATTACAATTCCTCTGACAACAGAAGGCACCCCTAGAAGAACTTGACCAAGGTCATTAACCAAATCCTCAAGCAGACAACTTTCAGGGTGGCTGGGCCTTGTTAGAAAGGGTTTCTGGGGCATCTGCTGAACCCAGAGGATCTTTCTTGGCATAATCTGAGGGCTGGGAAGATATGAGGACACAGTCCTTGCTCAGAGGAGTCCTTGTATCTCAGGAGTTAGGTTTCCAAGAAGGGCTGTTACATCACACCACCCAAGGCCACTCAGTTTCTCATCTTGACAGTCAAGCTTATGAGTCACCTTGCATCATGTTTAATCAGGAAAATAGTAAAGAACTGAAAACAAGTCAAGAATCAAGAGTAAACATTGTAACAGTGAGTTACACAGTTCTCAGAAGCATCCCGGATCAGAGCACCATGGTAAAATGGTAAGGGTAGTGAGATTACCTTCCTAAAATATAGGCTGTATCATAAAACCTAGGTAATGTTTTTGATATTTCTTTTCTAATTTCTTTATCAGAGTTATTTCATTCTATTTAATCGTCTCCTTTCTTATATTTTCCTCTAATGAAGAATAAGGCAGGTAGAGAAACTAGAAGTATTCCTTTCAGAAAAACTTCCCCTTGAAACATGATTTAATCACATGTGCAATATTGTTATCAATTTGTTACTTTCAGGGATCTAAAATGTAGACTGCTTTAAAGTCCTGTTTACTCACTCACATATGCCAGCTCCTCACTTCATTTCAGCAACTGGGAGCAGGAGCCTGCCCTCTGAAAGAGAATTCAAGTGTGGAGCTTCAATCCTAAACAGGACCCCTGCAAATATTTCATACACTTTCCATAGTTAGTTAAGCAACTCAGTAGCCACACTCTGTTGATTGCTGTGGTGTCAGTGACCCACATATAATTTGGAGCTATATGTCTGGGTGCTAGGAGAAATGCGGAATTGATACAAATTGAAATATGAAGACATTAACAAAGCTACAAGAGCAACAGAAACTACTAAAAAACAGAAAAAAATGTCAATTTCATATTTTCACTTGCTGCTCACTCTTTAATCAACAAACTTTTTTATTAAGTAGTTAGCATGTGCCTTACTTATTAAAGTAAGATCATCAGCAAAGGAAAGTTAGGCTATGAAGGATAAATCCAAATTTAGAACAAAAATCTACAGTGATCAAAGTTAGCTTAAGAGAAAAAGCACTTTTAAAAATGTAGTAGTGGTTTATAAATTGGTTGCAAGCCCCTATTTAAACATTGTCAAATTTCAGTAGCCCATGATAATGATGAACAACATGGAAAACTTTTTATCATAAATGAATCAAAGCAGGTGCTTCAACAGTTCAACTTCTGTATATCCCTATCATACCTGTGCATGTGTATGATACACACACACACACACACACACACACACACACACACAACCAGAACCAGCAAAAAGATGGGAAGGGAATGTATCTCACTTATGAATATATTATAGAAGAAAGATCTTTCACTTTTCAGGTGTACAGCTCTGAGTTCAAATCCCACCTCTGTCCCCTTCAAAGCAGTGTGACCCTTGGATAAGTCACTTACCCTCTCTGAACCTCAGTTTCCTTATTTCTAAATGGGTGGGAGGTGAGGGTATAGAGTACATTGCCAGCTTTGCATGGTTCTTGTGAGTTACCACCTGCAATAAGCTGTCACAAGTGGAAGTGGAAAGTAACTTGGCCAAGTGTGGTGGCTCACGCTTATAATCCCAGCACTTTGGGAGGCCAAGGTAGACAGATCACCTGAGGTCAGGAGTTCGAGACCAGCCTGCCCAACATGGCAAAACCCCATCGCTACTAAAAATACAAAAAAAATTAGCCAGGCGTGGTAGTGCCCGCCTGTCATCCCAGCTACTCAGGAGGCTGAAGCAGGAGAATCACTCGAACCCAGGAAGTGGAGGTTGCAGTGAGCCGAGATCAGGCCACTGCACTTCAGTCTGGACGACAGAGGGAGACTCCATCTTTAAAAAAAAGAAAGCAACTTGAACTTTCTTCCTTTCCTTAATTTTCTCTGCTGATGTTTCTCAGGCAGAAGCAACGAAGAAGCAGAATAGCTAAGAGGTAAAAATGGAAGGAAAAATAGTAGACAAAAGAGACAGAAATGATGCACACACTTGAGCTGGATGTCGCCTTGCTCTCCTCTCCCCTTTACCTCTGTGAGGAAGGTATGTGATGCAAATTTGGAGATTGTTGTTACTTTAAAAAATATATTTTTGGGTAAGCATGGGCACAAAAAACATAAATATTTATATATATAGGTCCAGAGCTGTGGCACAAGCCTATAATCCCAGCTACTTGGGAGGCTGAGGCAGGAGGATCACTTGAGTCCAGGAGTTCAAGTTTGAGGCCAGCCTAGACAACAGAGTGAGTCTCTTTCTCTCTGTATATATGTGTATACATGTATATGTGTATATGATGATCTTGTAATATGCTTTTAGTAGTCGTTTTTCTTTATGCTAAACCATGAATTGTTTAGTGACTCAAAGGAATCCCTTAGTAACAAACTTATTGTGATGGTTTGTATCTCATGAGAACATAGACACTACATGTGTAGGTCATTCAGTAAGTGGATAAAGTACTAGGGCACAGTTAGTATTAAACTGCCCTAAAAGAAAATATTTTTTAAAGTAGAAGCTTAGAGGGGGAAAGCCCACAGTGCTCTAATGTAACTTCCTCTGCATTTATGCTTTTTAGGAAGTTGTTCTAAGCCTGCCTTTGAACCCTTATTAACTCTTAATAAGAAATAACCATTTCATGCTGGGCTGGCCTTGTCATCTGTGAGCCCTAATTTTGCAGGTTCTCAGAAAATGCTACATAACAAAATCCTTTTTAAAAAAACTCTTCCCAGGGTCAAACTCCACAGCCAATCAAAATATTCCACTTTTTAACTTGTGGGAAATTGCTAAAGGAAAGGATAGCTTTAACTAGTGTGTCTTTTGGATTGGGGGGCTCAAAGAGAGGTCTCCCCAAGTTCCACGAGACTTCAGACCACAGAAAACCCACCACCCATTCGTGTTTTTGATTCCTTGAGGACACAGGCTGAGGTGGTTGGGAACGAAGTTTCACATCTACCTAGAAGATCATGACCAGTGGTAGAAAGACGACCAAATTTGGGAGAGCAGTTACGGTGCAGTTACGGAGGCGGAAGGACGCTCTCAGTACCCCGTTTCCACACTTTCATTCTTAAAGGCATGCAGCCCCTTTCTAAATAAATACAGCGTCCCCAGGTTTCCAGCACCTGAAGAGAAACCCTAACAGCACACTCTGGAAATGTTTTAGAAATCATTTTAAATGCGTATGGTTCCCAACTACATCACTGAGGGACTCCTGTGTATTTATTTATTTATTTTGAACATTTTCAAACGGATGGGGAAGTTTTGCTTCCATGTCATTTCCATTTTTTGTCCCCCAAATTGGCATTTGGCACCAAAATCAGTTGAGGAACGAATCATTCCTTAGCTAGAATTTAAAACTTAACAAGGGACTCGTCCCGAGCTTGGCGAAGAGAATACCATTTTAAAATTGCACTGTAGGATTTTTTACCTTCAGACAAGAACACACCTAAAAGGAAAAAGCCCCCACCCCCGCCAAGCACAAAAACACAGCATATCCCAAGCAGCCCGTTTCCTACCCAGCCAATAAAATAATGCTTTGTAAGCTGAGAGCAGCGCCCGGTATAGAAGCTAAGTATAAACAGCTGAGAAGGATTAGGCGGTAGCGCTCTTCTCATTTACATGAAAATCCTCTAAGCATCGTTTTCCTCGCTGGCTGCGGGCGCATAAGGAACTCTTTTATGCCATAGCCACGCATACATTTCCATCCTTTGTCTTTACTTACCAGTCGAGGCTGTGGGCATGTGTGCTCTATTTCCTCCATGGTTTCTGAGGGAGGCTCATTGGAAAGGGATTTTGGGATACCTGTTTCTGACTCAGCATCAGTGGTAACTACTGGCATGGCCAGTGAATGCTCCCTCTAGCTCTACACCCTTAAAGAGTCTCCTCCCAGGCAGAGAATGTTTTCTTTGTCACGTATTTTTCTACCCCCCACGTATCCCCCCCATTCTTCTCCTCTTCTTGCTGTCTTCCCTGGGGGGAGTAAAGAGGTTATCCCCCGCCCCTTTCTCTCTCTCTCTCTCTCTCTCTCTCTCTCTCTCGCTCTCGCTCGCTCTCGCTCTGTCGCTCTCTCCACACTCTCTCTCTCTCTCTCTCTCTCTCTCTCTCTCTCTCTCTCTGTCTCTCTCTCTCTCTCTCTCTCTCTCTCTCTCTCTCTCTCTCTCTCTCTCTCTCTCTCTCTCTCTCTCTCTCTCTCTCTCTCTCTCTCTCTCTCTCTCTCTCTCTCTCTCTCTCTCTCTCTCTCAGAAGCCAAGAGGCAAGGCCTCAGTTTATCACTATAACAACCAGATGACACTGAAGCGGCTGGTGCGGGATACAGTATCTCATTTGCATAGAGCGCTCTGGTTGGCTACTGTCGTCATAGTACCACTCCGCCGGAGAGCGGCCGGGCCCCATTGGCTGTCCGCTGTACCCACGGGCCCGAACTTGCTGCTTTTGTTTCTTCTGTTTAATTCAGTTGCAAAGGTCTCCGTCCTCTCCGGGCACGGGACCCGGGCTGCACCACTCAGATAACGTAAAACCGCTTCCTGAGGGGCCCAGGGCGCCTTGAGAAACAACATAGCAGACCTCCACTAATAAAGGACAATGTCCCTGGCATGAGCGAGCGCATGATGTGCCATAGTCAGGATATTTGCCAAATAGAAGTCACCCTGAAGACAAAGCCACTTTTGAGCCTAAATTCACTGTGCCAATTGGCAGTGGGGGGGCCCCTCCGGGCATTCACTATGGGCACCTGAGTGTTTACCCCGTAGACTTCATGCAACGTGAACCCTGGCAGATCCTCTGTGGCCTGGTGTAGCCCTGCAGCCCTCCCCTGGGGCTGCCCTAGGGGGAACTTTGAAGGAGGTAGATTGTCTTTAACAGTATGCCTCCTACTCCTGGCTGCCCTTCCCAGTTGCTTCCTCTGTCGGCCACTCTTCCTCCTCCCCAGCTATTCAAAGTTTCCTCAGGAAGTCTTGCTGTTGTGTACCTTTCAATATACTGTTCCGTGCACTGGTCTATTACCCCTTGGCTCCCACTTTACCAGTCGTGGGTCCCATTTCTGAAGTACCCTGCTCTCAGCCAAATGCTCATGGCAATCAGAGATGGAATGTTAACGATCAGGTGCTTTAATGTCTACATTATCTAGGGACATTCCCATTTTAAGAGGAGCATTCTGAAGACACACACCCAAAGAACTTATCAAGGTATTCGTTGTGAATTGTCGCTTTTAATATTAATAAAAAATCATGATAATCTCTGGCATTTATTAAGCACAAGCACAGTGCTGACTACTTTACCTAGTCCTTGAACCCAGAGAGGTAGATCCTGTTGTTTTCCCCATTTTACAGGTATTCACATTCGCAAAGCTCTAAAATAACACAGCTGGGATTTGAAGGATTTTTTTTTTTTTTTTTTTGCGAGGGGTGGGTGCGTAGGGAGCAGGGATGCAGCAGTTATAGTAAGAAAAGAATCTAGGCAGGAGTCCTCTTAGGACAAGTCCCTGGGCTTCTACATCTTTCATTTTTATCTATAGCAGTGGTTTTCATCCAAGTGTGGTCTGAGACCAGCAGCACCAACATCAGCATCACCAGGGAACTTGTTAGAAATGCAAATTATTGGCCCCCTGCCAGACACCAGACCTGATACAGTAAATCTGGGGTGGGGTCAAAATTTGCTTTTCTAGCAAGTTTCTGGGTGATGTGGATGATGCAGGCCTGAGAACCATGCTTTGAGAATCAGTAGCCCAAAGGATGGGATAAAAATACCGGCAAATGAGATATTGTGGGAAGTAGAAAAGTTCCTCTTCAAAGTTTCCTTTCTTGTTAAAAAACAAATTTGCTAATAAGTCTTTGTTAAGTCCTATCCTATGTAGCTGTTAGACATGCCATGCTTACAGGCACATAGTATAGTCTATGTAACCAAGATATCTGTGCTGGACCTGCTCACAGGCATATTCCAGCTTGCAGCCTATGCCCCTTACCTGTTTAAAATGTTTTAAGTTATTAGCCTATCAGGTTTTAGTTTAAATTGTGAGTTCTGGCTCCAACCAATGGAGATCAGACACAGCAGTAAGGACAACCCCAAATGCATAAGGGATAAATATGTCTGCTTTTCCTTTGTTCATTGTACTCTTGTGGCAAGATGCAGTGCAGGAAGTACAAATTGCCTTGCTGAGTGATCTTTTGTCTCAGTGCTAATTTTTCTTTGCAGCACCAAGCATCTGTTTCCAACAGATATCATGTGAATGTACTTTGTGAATTAGGATGTGCTATGCTAATGTAAAGGGACATTATTTTTATTACTCCTCAATAAGCAAAGAAGCTAGCCCTAAAAGAAGAAGAAAGTGGATTCTGTAGCAGAGAATTACAGTTTGACAGTTTTTGATCCTGGCCCTTTAAGTCAAAATAACATCACTTAAGAGTATTATGACCTATACAGGACAGAAATCCAGTGAGAATTCCAGTGATGCTTGGGTCATCTAAAAGGGGCCAGTTGCTTCCTATTCTGTCTGCCCTCCTGGAAGCACAAAACACCTCCAGCTGCAGGTTCAGCTCTACCAGCTCATCGCTTGGAAGAGCCAAACCCTGTGTTACATTTAGGAGCACCTGTACTGGGTGACGTGCAAATGACATGGTTATTCTAATCTCAACATGTGTATTTTTGCCTTAGAGCAGTGGTTCTCAAAGTGTGCTTCTCCAAGAAGTAGCACCAGCAGCCCTGGTCACTTATCAGAAATTCTGGATCCCCACCCCAGACCTACTGAATCAGAAAGTGAGGTGGTGGAGCCCAGGAATCTGTGCTTTAACAAAGCATTCTGACCCATACTAAAGTTAACAAACCACTGCCGTAGTCGTTCACATTGGAAAGCACCTAACTCCACTGTATTCTGGGCCACTGAACCACTCCTTGGCTCCTCACTGGTCATCGGTCATCTAATTCTCTCTCCAGAGTGAGAGGTTCACCTGTTCACCTGCCCATTTCACAGAGTTCTAATGTCTAGCTGGGTCCTTGTGAACTGCTGTCCAAGAGCCTAGACCATCCTCTTAGACTCTCAATATTTTCTGCCTCCCTTCCTCACCTTCCTCCCCTCCTAATCCTCCTTGTCCCATTGAACCAAGATGCTGCCTCTGCCTAGGATGTCTTCATTGTGTTACCCACATCAAACCTTTAGCTTTCAGTGCCACTTTGTGCTAAGTCCAAGTCACACCTGACACTTATTCATCCCAAGTCCTTAAACTGCAATTTAGACTTCTGTCTAACTACTCTGAGGGTCAGCTCTATAACTAATTCCATTCTCACTAATCCTACTCCAGCCTAGTCCTGGCTTCCTCCTGCTCCTCTCCCCATAGTCCTGTGATTGAATCTCAGTGTGTCTTGTAGTTTCAATGGCAGAAATAGACTCTTTTAGACACCACTCTGAGAGGAGTCCTTATCAGATCCACCTACTTCGGAGACCAGTCCTGGCAGCTGCTGCAACCTGACTCTGAGACTCCTTGATAATACTTGAATGGGTTATTTTAACTTGGGGGCATTGTAATGCTATCAAGACATTTAGCTAAGAATGATCAGTTAATTCCACACTACAGAGCTAAATATTCCATAAAGGTTATGAAGGGGATGACTATGAAGGGATAGCAGGAGAGAGCTTATTGGGATAATGGAATTATTATGTAGCTCTTTTTTTCCATTTCCGTTTTTTTTTTTTTTTGAGACAGGATCTTACTCAGTTGCCCAGGCTGGAGTGCAGTGGTGCAACTGCAATCTCAGCTCACTGCAACCTCTACCTCCCACGCTCAAGCGATCCTCCCTCCTGACCCTCCCAAGTCTCTGGGACCACAGGTGTGCGCTACCACACCTGTCTAATCTTTTTGTATTTTTGATAGAGACAGGGTTTCACTATGTTGTCCAGTCTGGAACTCCTCGCCTCAAGTGATTCACCTGCCTCGACCTCCCAAAGTGCTAAGATTACAGGCATGAGCCACCGTGGCTGAACAAGAATCGTTATGTATCTTGATTATGGTAATGATTACACAAAATCTATTCATGTGTTAACTTCATTAAAAATTCCATAGATGATATTTGTCAGTATATCTAACACCCTTTAGAATATTCATACCCTTTGACCTAGGACTTCCACTTGGTATTTATCCCAAAAGAAATAGAGAAGCACACAAATAATTATATACAAAGATGCTTAATGCAGAATTATTTATGAAAGGCAAAAAAGATACAACTTACAGCAATAGTGGGAATAGTTAAAATAAAAATAAAATAAGTCCATATAACATAGTACTGTACACTCACTAAGAGTCATGTTTTTGAAGAAATTCTAATGTTATGGGCACATGTTAGCATTATAGTGTTAGGAAAGTAGACCACAGAGTGTGATTCCAAAAACAGAAGCCCAATTATGTGATAGGTACATGCACAGGAAAAAGCACTGGAAGGAAATATATCAAGATGCTAAAAGTGAAATCTCTAAACTGTGGAGTGATGGAAGACTTTTGTTTTACTTAAAAAAATATTTTCTGTCTATAACAAATATTCAAAAATGAGCATATGTTACTCTTTTTTGAGACAGAGTCTCACTCTGTTGCCTAGGCTGGAGTGCAGTGGCGTGATCACAGCAGCCTCGGCCTCCCAGGCTCAGATCATCCTCCCACCTCAGCCCTCCGAGTAGCTGGGACTACAGGATGCGCAACCATGCCTGGCTAATTTTTTTGTAGAGATGGTGTTTCTCCATGTTGCCCAGGCTGGTCTCAAACTCCTGAGCTCAAGCAATCCACCTGTCTCAGCCTCCCAAAGTGCTGAGGTTACAGGCATGAGGCACCACACCAACCTTATATTAGTCTTATAATTAGAAAAAAACAACGAACATTACTCTCCTCCCTAAAGGCATCAAGGGCTGGGTATTAGGGTTGGGGTGAGACAAGAGTGGTTAGCTCATGGGCAAACAGAAAGATGCGCAGATCTCAGTGAGAGGAAACAAGAAAGTTGAAACTGAGGAACAAAGCTGGAGCAAAGTCCTAAAGTCCCATCTCCAGTTAGCAGAAGTAGAGGAAATGTGTTGGAAGCAGGCTGTGCAGAAAAGTCCCAGGGAATGTTTAGGGACAGGGCTCCTGAGTCTTGTGATCTCTGCAAGAAAGGCATGCCTTCTGTGAGAACTTGTCAGATCAGTGCTGTCCCTAACAAGCACTATCCTGATTATTTCTACCGTGTATTGAGTACCTCTTATGTCTTTAGCACTATGCTAGGTATTAAGTTGGTGCAAAAGTAATTGCAGTTTTTACCATTAAAAGCAATGACAGGCCAGGAGCGGTAACTCATGCCTGTAATCCCAGCACTTTGGGAGGCTGAGGTGGGCAGATGACCTGACGTCAGGAGTTTGACACCAGCCTGGCCAGCATGGTGAAACCTCGTCTCTCCTAAAAATACAAAATTTAGCCAGGCACGTTGTTGGGCACGTGTAATCCCCGATACTAGGGAGGCTAAGACAGGAGAATCACTTGAACCCAGGAGGCAGAGGTTGCAGAGAGCACACCATCGCACTCCAGCCTGGGAGACAAGAGCAAAACTCCATCTCAAAAAAAAAAGTAACGACAAAACCACAATTATTTTTGCACCAACCTAATGCTTATCATACCCTAACTGTAGCCCTGACAACACCCAATCAGATAGGTATAGTTGCCCCACTTTGCAGATGAGGAAGCCAAGCCATAGAGACCTTAACTTCAGCTTGGAAGACACCTACAAATGACATCTACCTTCCTACAAGCGGTCCTCACATCATCATCAAATTGTTGAAAACATTATTTTCAGCTGGGCATGGTGGTTCATACCTGTAATCCCAAGACTTTGGGAGGCTGAGGCAGGCAGATCACTTGAGGTCAGGAATTCAAGACCAGCCTGGCCAACATGGTGAAACCCTGTCTCTACTAAAAATACAGAAATTAGCCAGGCATGGTGGCCCACATCTGTAATCCCAGCTACTCGGGAGGCTGAGGCAGGAGAATCGCTTGAACCGAGGAGGCGGAGGTTGTAATGAGCTGACATTGCACCACTGCACTCCAGCCTGGCCAATGTAGTGAGGCCCTGTCTCAAAAAAAAGAAAGAAAGAAAGAGAAAGAAAAAGAAAGAAAGAAAGAAAGAAAGAAGAAAAGAAGAAAGAAAGAGAGAAAGAAAGATAGAAGAGAAAGAAAGAAAAGAAATTTATTATGAAGAACGAAGGGAGATGGAAAACGTAGAGTAAAGTTGACAGAAGAATTTAAGATTTCCCAGAAAGCATTATTGCCTCCTATGGAATTTTGCTAATTCTATGTCTCTGTTTTGAGCCACTTTCCCAGTTGTCCACATGTGGCTTAAGGTGTGGGCCTAGTAGTCCAGGAAAAGACTCTACCATACTAAGTAATGAAATCCACACATAAATCCTTTTCACCCATTCCAGGAAAATTATAATAGTAAAAGTATTTTGCAATAGAAAGCATTTCACCCCTCCCTTGGTGCTTTTACACATTGACTTATAATAGCTCACTGAGACTGACATGTTTTAATTCTGAAACGTTTCAAATGAGCAAACAAATTCAGAGCAATTAAGTGATTTGACCTTGGTCACATAGTAAGTGGTAGAAGTATCACTTGAATCCAGGTCTCTTGAATCAAAGTTCGATACTTTTCCACCAAACTACCCTGCCTCATTGTGTGATACACAGTAGTTAGATTTGCTTTATTAATGAGCTTGCTGAGCTAACTCATGCAGATCTCATCATCAAATATAACCCCTTAACCCCTTTTCTGTTGAATTCATGTACATGAAGTACTCTTCACTTTTATTCATTCAGTTCATTTCATCTTTGTGCAACTGTGGATCTGGACTCATTGTAGGTGCTTGAATTTACTCATGACAAGAAAAATTATCATAGTTGTGGCCGAGTGCAGTGGCTTATGCCTGTAATCCCAGCACTTTGGGAGGCTGAGGTGGGTGGATCACCTGAGGTAAGGAGTTCGAAACCAGCCTGACCAACATGGTGAAATCCCATCTCTACAAAAAATACAAAAGCTAGTTGGGCATGGTGGCAGATACCTGTAATCCCAGCTACTCGGGATGCTGAGGCAGGAGAATCGCTTGAACCTGGCAGGCGCAGTTTGCAGTTAGAGCGTGCCACCACACTCCAGCCTGGGTGACAGAGTAAGACCCTGTCTTAAAAACAAAACAAAACACAGTTACATTGCCAGGCTAACCAGTGGGCCAAGAGCATGGCCGATACAGGTCTATGACCTATAAAGGCCGCTAGGGGGAGGCCAAGGCAGGTGGATCACCTGAGGCCAGGAGTTCAAGACTAGCCTGGTCAACATGGTGAAACCCCATCTCTACTAAAAATAAACAAAAAAAATTAGCCAGGAGTGGTGGCAGGCACCTGTAATCCCAGCTACTTGGGATGCTGAGGCAGGAGAATTGCTTTAACCAGGGAGGTGGAAGCTATAGTGAACCAAGATTGCACATTGCACTCTACCCTGGGCAACAAGAGCAAAACTCTGTCTCAAAAAAAAAAAAAAATCATTAGGGGAAAAAAATGGTGACAACATGAAAATAGGGCTTTAAAGTCTATTTTTTTGTGATGGGGGTGGGAGAATCAAGAAGATAAAATAAAAGTGCTTTCTTATTAAAATTGATTTTCTTATTTTTCTAATTTCTATAATAACCAAAAAAGAATTGACCTTTACTCATCCATGTGACCAAAATTTGAATGTAAGTAAAGTTTTCTGGAGCTAGGGAGAAACCGCACAGACCCAAGATGACAAACCTACCACATACATGAAAATACAGCTAACAGAATGTCATTTGACATCTTACATTTAAAAGAAATATATATTTGCAATTGGTTGGGGAGATGAGCAGTAAGGAGTTCCAATATTCTTTTTTCTTTTTACTTTTTTTTTTTTGAGACAGAGTCTTGCTCTGTCTCCCAGGCTGGAGTGCAGTGGCACCATCTAGGCTCACTGCAACTTCTGCCTCCCAGTTCAAGCAGTTCTCCTGCCTCGGCCTCCCGAGTCTGGGATTACAGGCATGCGCCATCATACCCGGCTAATTTTTCTATTTTTACTAGAGACGGAAGTTTCACCATGTTGTCCATGCTGGTCTCGAACTCCTAACCTCAGGTGATCCGCCCGCCTTGGCCTCCCAAAATGCTGGGACTACAGGCGTGAGCCACTGCACCCAGCCCAGCTCCAATATTCTTAGCACTCAAGGACACCAGTCATTGCACCTGTGTTTGAGAAGGTCTTAAAAAAGATATTTTTAAAATCAAAACAAGATGTATTTATTTAAACACTGATGATAAAATCAGTTGTAAATATGATATATTTTGTTTTGCTGTAGCAAAATAAATATGATGGCAGGGTTTTTTGCATAAATTAAAGTTGCCCTTAGCTGGAATAAATCATTCTTATTGACATTAGCAGCTGTGTAGTCAGTAAAGAATGATTGTTGCTATTACTTGGTGGTATTTATAAACACTTTTATTTTCTAAGTGCTTTACAATCACTTATTGTCTAATTAATATCTAATCATCTGTTTACAAGTAATAATCACACATGTAGCGCAGTTTAATCAAAACTCCAAATACAGCCGCCATCATACTCAAGAGTGCCGTGTAGATTTTGGTCCCTTCTTTATGGGGTTTGAGTCCAGACATGAAACTGAAACAGATAATACATCAGAAAAAAAAATGGATAAAGATTCCTCACTTGTAGTTGAGCATAAATTGGATTCACAACTTTTGCATGCCAAATATATTATCTGAATGTCAGTGGATGAGTAAGACCATAGGTAATTTTCAACACTTAAGGGCTCAATTGCATACACATATAAAATTGCAATTTATTTAACCCACAAAATTGAATGATAGTTTATGATAAATGTACAAGGCCAGGCGCTGACTTAACATTGAAACTCTTAGTCACAATCACTGTTTCAGTCATTTTAATGAAAAAGTAAATGTAGCAAAGGTGGCTCAGGGACCTTCGAGGTTAGTAATCTAACCAGGTTCAAGTCTACACCAAGCTACGCCCAGTATGAACACCTGCCAGTCTTAATTAGCCAACATAAGTGGATGTACTGCTGTCTTCCTTCAGTCTCCCCAAGTGTTATTCTATAAGCAGTTACGGAAACCAGGAAAGGATTTTTTTAAGCAGGTGAATGATGTGCATATTAATCCAGTTTTTTTCCTTCTAAGTTGAATTTTCTTACAGGTAGAATTGCTAAGTCAGAGTATTTACGTTTTTAAAGATTTTGATACATGGTTTTTTGACACTGTTATCAAATTATCCTCCAGCTTGGTGACCCTGTGTATACTTCTTCGTATACTCCTAAAGAGTTGTCTTTCTTGATTATTGGTCTAACATAACCAGATTTCCTCCTTGCTGTCCTACCAGACAGTTTCCCAGTACTGCTTCGAGTACCGCAGGGTCCTCAGGATTGTGCCTGGGGCCTTCTGCATATGATACAAATGAGCTTGATTGGCAAGTGAGTCATCAGGACCATCTGATGCCAGGAGGGATCCATTCATTCGCAAGTAAACTATTATTACAATCCTCAGACTTTATACTAATAGATTTTGAATGACATGGTCTCCAAAGTGATTCTTTGTCTTGCAAAATCTGCCCTCAGAGTCTTCGGTTGCTCAAAGAGAAATTCGGTTTAATCTTCTGTGTGTTTCCTGTGGCTGCTGTAACAATGTACCAGAAATTTGGTGGCTTAAAATAACACAAAGATATTATCTTAAAGTTCTGGACCAGGGTCAGAAGTCTGAACTGGATCTCAGTGGACTAAAATCAATGTACCGGCAGGACTACATTTCTTCTGGAGACTCTAGGGGAAATTGTTTCATTGCCTTTTTTTTCTTTTTTTAGGTCCTAGAAGCTGCATGCATTCCTTGGCTCCTAGCCTGATTTCTTGTATCTTCGAAGACAGCAATCGCATCACTCCAGGCTCTGTTTCACTAGTCACATATTCTTTAAGTCTCCTGCCTCCCTCTTTCACTTCAAAAGACTCTTGTAATGACATTGAGTTCCTTTGAATAATCCAGGATAATCTCTCCCATCTCAAGACCTTTAACTTAATCACATATATAAAGTCTCTTTTGCCATCTAAGGTAACATATTCACAGGTTCTGGAAATTACAATGTAGACATCTTTGGGAGGTCCTTGTTCTTCCTATCACATCTTCCCTAGCATGAGCTGGGCCTGCTATCTCATCTCCAGATATTCAGGAAATACGGTTGACAAAAATGTCATTCATTTGCGTACAATTGCTGACACTGTCTGCAATTTTAATACTTACTAACTTACGACATCCTTCTCTGTATCAGAAACAAGCATTCTGTCCAGTTTAGAGACATTAAATAATTTGTTCAAGGTCACAGAACTGGTCCGTGGCAGAAGAGAGTTTGACATTCCAGACTGTAGGACCTGAAAGCCCCCACTCATTGCATGGTGCCTCAGTATCTCAACATTTTTTATTCTCTGCCCATTCTGCTCTCTTTGGATAGCCTTCATGTTGAAAGCTTTTCATTTAGTTTGTTTGACATTTAATGATACAAGCTAACTAGAGAAAAGCTTTTATTAAGGCCTTATAAAGATCATATTTGACTCATTCAGTAAGTGCCAGTGCAGGATGTCATCACAAAACACACATTGAAGATAATGTCTCCCCATCCTTTAATAAATCTTCCTAAAAGTGGCATCAGATGGGTTCTTCCTCTGCAATATGAGCAGAAGTTGCCTCATCAGGTTTTCTTCTCTGTGGGCGATGTGTAAATCTCTGAATAACAGGTGGTGCTGGTGAGAAATGATCTTTCCAAAAGCCCACAAGTATACAAATGCCCTGTTCTTGAAAAAAGAGTGTCTAACACTTTAGGGGTGTCTTAGTCTGTTTTATGCTGCTATAACAGACTACCACAGAGTGGGTAATTTATAATGATGAGAATTGTATTTGGCTCCTAGCTCTGGAAGCTGGGAAGTCCAAGAGCATGGTGCCAGCATCTGGTGAGGGCCTTTGAGCTCCGTCATCCCATGGCAGAAAGCAGAAGTGCAAGAGAAGGCAAGAGCAGGGAAGCAAGAGGAAGTTGAAGTTGCTTTTTTTTTTTTTTTTTTTTCGAGACAGAATTTTGCTCTTGTTACCCAGGCTGGAGTGCAATGGCGTGATCTCGGCTCACCGCAACCTCCATCTCCTGGGTTCAAGCAATTCTCCTGCCTCAGCCTCCCAAGTAGCTGGGACTACAGGCGTGCGCCACCATGCCCAGCTAATTTTTGTATTTTTAGTACAGACGGGTTTCACCACGTTGACCAGGATGGTCTCGATCTCTTGACCTCGTGATCCACCCACCTGGGCCTCCCAAAGTGCTGGGATTATAGGTGTGAGCCACCATGCCCTGCCCTGAAGTTGCTTTTATAACAAATCCACCCTTGTGGTAACTAAGCCTCTCCTTTGTTAATGACTTTAATCCATTCATGAGGTCAGAGCCCTCATGACCTAATCACCTCTTATTGGACACTGTTGCATTAGGGATTAAGTTTCTAGGACATAAACTTTGGGGGACACATTCAAACCATAGCAGGAAGTCTAAATTAATCTCTTGATAAAGATTGTTGCCCTCTTTGCTTTACTCTGGAAGGTTCTCAACCTTGGTTGTGCATTATACTTACCTTAGGAGCTTTCAAAAATACTGAGGTTTGATACCTGCTCCCTAAAGATTCTGATCTAATTGTCCTGGGGTTTAGCATCAGGGCTTTTAAAAGTTCAGAACAAAAAAATGTTCAGAACCACTGTGATGAAGAAGAGATGATGAGAAACTTTATTCATACATGGATTTTGATCCAAAAGTATTTGGCTCTCAAAATAGAAAAAAAATCTATTTTGTTTGCATCGAGAGTAAGAAACACTATTTGTATATGTTTCCCGGGACTAGGTAAAAACTTTCGATATCTCCAAAAGCAATCATTTTAAACACCTAGTTTACTAAAATGCCAGATGAGAGGCCATGTCAAATGACACTAAGGAGTCCAGGTGCGGTGGCTCACACTTGTAATCCTAGCAGTTTGAGAGGCCAAGGTGGGCAGATCACCTGAGGTCAGGAGTGGGAAACCAGCCTGGCCAACATGGTGAAACCCTGTCTCTACTAAAAATACAAACATTAGCTGGGCATGGTGGCATGCACCTGTAATCCCAGCTACTTGGGAGGCTGAGGCAGGAGAACTGCTTGAACCTGGGAGGCAGAGGTTGCAGCGAGCCAAGATCCTGCCATTGCACTCTGGCCTGGGCAACAAGAGCAAAACACCATCTCAAAAAAATGACACTAAGGGTACCTGAGGGTAGCTTTATGCAGTCAATGGTCTTTCACAGAAGCCCACCCTTGCTTTGAGAAGATATTGTCTTGAGTAAGCAAGTATGGTATAAGCACAACTTCAAAGAAAAATAATCCTTTATTTCTGCAAAATGGTCTGGATAACCTCACTCCACCATTCAATTGCAGGAACTCAACAGGAGCAAAACCATTAGCAGTGAACCATGGCAGTCTCTAGCACATATGGTACTACCATTGCTCAAAACACTTTTGGAATAAGTCTTTGGTCATCATTTGAAAGTGTGAAGATAACAATACTCATATGAATATATAAGTTCTACTATCCTTTAAAAAAAAAAGAGGTAGAAATCATCAAAAGGACTTAGGAGACTCCTAACAGACAAAGATGAAGAGTTTAAGCATCAGTAAGGATAAGAACTGCAATTGATTGAATCCTATCTAATGTTTTTAAATGCATGAGTTCATAATACTATCAAAAGAAACCCCCAAGCCTCATTTGCCTGCATTGAAGGATCCTAGAGAAAAACACATTATTTTGAAAACTGGGGAATAATCAAGCCTTTATTTAACCTTTCCTATACAAACTGTCCCTCTGGGTCAGCAAACAAGAGAAGTATCTTGTCTTAGAATGAGTAATGAGGAAGGTAAGATGGTAATGAATTATCTCCACTTTATAACCCCTAAGGAAAGATTGGGTTTAGGCACTTGGCATCAACTACTGCTAACAGTACAGAAAGACAGGCACTACCAAACATTATGTACTCCTCATAGAAGTACACGTGCTACTTATGAAACAGTCTGCCAAGTAAATAGAACCTGGCTTTGATCATACCTCTTGATCTGAGGCCAATTTACAGGAAATACAGAAGGCATAAAGGTGTATGTTAACACCACAGGGATGCAATCAGCAAAATCTAGATTGTGGAAAACCCTATACAACAAACCTAGTTTCTTCAGCCAAAAAATTGCAAGAAGACTATAGACTAAATGATATCTAAAAGACATATCAATTATTTGTAATATGTACACTGTATTATTAGAATCCTAATTCAAAACACTGTAAAAATGACATTTATAAAACAATTAGAAATTTGAGCAATTTCTGGATGCTATGAAGGAATTTTTGTTAATTTAGGTGTAATAATGATATTGTGGCTGCTTCAGGTGGCTTATGCCTGTAATACTTGCACTTAAGGAGGCCGGGGCCAGAGAATCTCGTGAGCTCAGGAGTTTGAGAACACCTGGGCAACATGGTGAGACCCCATCTCTACTAGAAATAAAAAAGCAAAACTAGCTGGGTGTGGTGGCATGTGCTTGTAGTCCTAGTTACTTGG